AGTCATGGCGGACAGCGTCCGTTTGAACAACGCCATGGCTCCTCACGAGGTGTCGCTGCTCTACATCCTTTGGCACATGAAGACTGTGGGCGGGGTGCACATTATCAACGCCACACAAGACGGCGCTCAGGTACGTTGTAGTTTTAGTACTGGTTTTACGGCGCTCGCAACTGCATTAGGTCATATGAGCGCCAACGGGTGGATGTCAATAGAGAAGTCCAAACGGGAAATCAGGCTTACTCTGCTCACGGACAGACGGACGGACGGACGGACGGATGGATGGATGGATGGATGGATGGATGGATGTTTATGGAAGGATGGACGGACGGACGGACAGACGAACGGATGCGCGATGACGTCTCATTTCGCTACCCTTTGAATTACAAAAGTCTATCAGATCAGTACCTTGATTTGAGAAATTTGACGTAAAAAATTGAGTTTTACATGTCAATTATTTTCGAATGAAATTTTTTGAAAGTCTTGATAACGACTTGGAATGATCTTACAATTTGGATAGAGTAGATAGAACATTAATTTGGTTGCTGACTTCATTGTATTAGTAACTCAAACCGACCAAAAACGCCAGAAGGAACTTCGTAATTCTAAGAAAGCGACTTGCCTTGAAATATAGCAGGATGTCTTATGTATATTATTTATGTGCAGTCCAAATTGCCTAAGACACCATGCTTTGTCGAGAACAGCAGAAGTAGTCATTATCTTTGACGTTGTGTTTTCGGGAAATACGCTTTACAAACACGGTCTTTTTCCGTTTAGCTCTGTCCTTCTTAGTTAGAGCTGTTCGTTTTACACGGTGTCAGTATAAATGTAGAAAGACGGATGGGTTGGCCCGACCTTGTATGAGTTGGAGCCAATCCGGGGTGAGCTGGTCTGCCGAAAGGAAGACAAAAATATTGGGTTGAATTGACTTCACCTCTTAGGAATCGAACTCATTTCATTGGTTTACAACGAATTCAAAGAAAAGCATTCAGAAAAAAAACTTGACATATTGTGAAACTCTAAGATTTCTGCGTCAAATTTCTCAAAACTAGGTATTGAGCACATAGAATGTTGTAATTCTGAGGTAGCTATAGAGAAAGTTGATTGCCCAACTACTATTTTTCTCCAATCAGAGGTAAAATAAGCGAGAAAATGGCCGCCAAAGAGTGGTATATTTCAATGCATGAGAGTCCTTGCAAACTTGAAATTTATATTTTTTGTAGCTTTAATCATCGTTTTTCAGGATAATCCACACATAAATATGTTTTGAAATAGACATAAAAGCTGTTGAGCTAAAAAGCAAAAAAATTAATAAAATTCAATTTCATTTTTTTTACGAGAGCCTGATTTCACCTCATTCCTCATTAATTTTGGTCTCCCCAGGAGCGGAAAATGGTCGGGGGTACTCAACAGCTGAGTCAGAGGCTGGCTGAGCACGTGGGGCTTGGTGAGTCATTGATATTTGTTTCGTCCAGGCTTTGGTGTTGTTGGTTTGTAACGTTATTTTAAAACGACAACCTGTTTTGAATTAAATCCCACAATGTTCATTTGTAAATTTTCATCGCACCCGGTTTTTTCCTTCCACAACCCCCACCCCCCTCAATTATATGAATAAAAAAAATATAATAGTTACTGCAAATTGCCTCTCCAATTTTGATGATTACTTATTATAGCCGTTTACCTCTTGACAGACGATCTTACAGCCGTATGTATTCATAACTGCGCTTTGCCTGGGCTGTAGACATAGGGCTACCTCAAAATTACAAAGTTCTATCTGACATTTTTGCCCATTATGAGTTACTAAAACCATGAGGTCAGAAGGCACATCTTCTATTAAATCTATCAAATTGTACAAATATTTGCAGTCGTTATCAAGATATTCAAAGAATTGCATTCGAAAAAGCTTGACATATTGGAACTCTAAGATTTCTACGTCAAATTTCTCAAAACTTGGTATCGAGCAGATAGAATGTTATAATTCTGAGGTAGCTATAGAAGAAGTTGATTGCCCAACTACAATTTTTCTCCAATCAGATCGTGACTTTCCTTACCATTATCTCGCAAAAGTGTGTGCGAAGGTAAAATCGTGACTGAAGAAAGTGGGGCGAAAACGCATGCACTGATTGTAAATACGATTTTTAGAAGAAAAAATAGCGGGCGGATGGAGGGCATTTGTTAAAGTCCTACTTGTTTCGAACCTATGCTGTTTTCGGCTGTTTCTTTTTCTTACTCGCTCCGAGTACTAAATAACCTGTTGGGCCTTAAAATGTGTGTTGATTGTCTTATCAGATGAGAGAACTTTTTAAAGATTACTGCCTGATAGTCAGTGGCTCATGATCTTTTGGACGCTCCCCCCCACCCACGAGCACTCAGTTTTGGGTTCAAACACACATATACACACATACACACACACACTTCCCAAACATGTCTGTGTACCCAAATTATAAGAAAACTAAATTCATGATGTGTGAAATGTCTACGCCACTTTGCAATTGTCATTTGCATAAATAAAAAATAAGCTTATAAATACATAAATAAATAAATAAATTTAAAAAAATTAAATAAAAACCCTCTCAACAGCACTTTTTTCTCTCCTTCAAACAGAAAACGTTTTACTGGAAAAACCTGTAACAGAAATCGATCAGACTGGTGATGAGATCAAAGTCAAGGTCGACAGCGGAGCCATCTATACGGTCAGTGTATAAATAATTATGTAAACTTTTTGGAACACCATGATCTATTAGTTTCATACTCCTTAATAAACAACCTAAACTTTTTATCCCAGTCTGTGCAGTTGACTTCATCTTGATGGGTTGTCTGTGTAGGTGGGAATATTATTTTTTTTTACATTACGTTTAAATCAATTGTTTGTTTTAGAAAAATAATAAACTTAAGAACTCCATGTCTGACAATATAAAATCTATGAATTTAAAAAAAAAGTTACTTAATATCCAGTTTGATGTAAGTGAAAATCAGCTAAGTGTTTTAAAGTTACATCTGTAGTCTAGTTAAATGGTAAGTCTGCCAGACTTTTAATCATGATATTATTATTGTCGAGTCGGTAGTCTAGCCGTAAGTCTACAACTCTTAATCATCATCATCATTGCCTTTCTCACTCTGCACCAGGGTATAGGCCACGGACAAACACTTTCCACCTTTCTCTATCCTGGGCTAGCTTCTTGATGTTTTTCAATGTCTTCCCACTTTCTGTACATCAATTTCTGTGATTCTTCACCAGGTTCCACACCGTCTTCCCCTTTATCTTTTACCCTGTTGATTCCAATCCAACGCTTTCTTTCTTATGCAGCTGCCTGACTTCCTGGGAATATGTCCAATCCATCGCCACTGCCTTCTTTCTACCTCATCTCTGACTGGGATCTGTCTTGTTTTCCTGAACACTTCTTCACCAGACTCTTAACTATGATACTATTGTCGAGTGTGTAATCTAGGTGCAAGGTTACTGGACTTGTAACAGTGAACTTGCGGGTTCGGATTGACCATCTACGCTTATCCCGGCCCGGCCCTGCGTTCTGGAAAAGGCACTATGCACGATTCTTTCCCTAATTTGGCTCGGTCATTTCAGAGCCTGACGTTACATTCGGAGTTCTGGTAGGGCATCTATCCCCCCCCCCTCCCGGACTTCTTACAGTGCTGCAAGGGTCGTTAGACAAATGCAATTTCGCAGCCCCACAATGCAATCTATCTTGCCTAACCTAGCCTCATCTTCCCCTTCTTATCTGTCAGTGTGGTCACGTGATCCTAAGCACGCCGTTGTCCATACAAGCCCAAGTGAGAATGAAGCCCCCGCTCCCCCCGGCTAGGAATCAGCTGATACAGAGAGTGCCTATGGGCTGCGTCATGAAAGCTTTCGTCTACTACAAAACTGCCTTCTGGAAGGAGAAAGGTCAGCAGTATTTTTGTTGTGAAGCTTTCGTACTTCTTCTTCTTCTTCTTCTTCAGGTGTCAGGTCTGAAGCAGACACTGACGATCATGGCACCTCCATTCCTGCCTATTGTCTGTCTTCTTAATCAGCTCGGTTTTTCTCTTTGTGTTATTCGTTGCAAAATTGTTCAGGCCATCTGTGAATGTTGTTCTTTGTCTTTATTCCCTCCATCTTTCCAGCAGCGGTTTCTCTATTCAATTAATTTGATCTCTTTGTTTTGTTTTTGTTTTAGTAAGAAGGGTTTTACGGCACTTGCAACACGATAAGGTCATATAAATGCCGAAGATTAGAGGTGTTACAAGAGAGTAACAAACACAAAAAAGAAGGAGGAGAGACAAGGACGATAGATGTTTGTTTGATAGGAAAGAAGGAGCAAACCACACCAGAGCACCCGCCAACCACCCATGATTTATTTGTGTGGCCAAAGAATCTCAATAAATGTCTTTTTCTGATGGTTCTTATTACATATCTTTCACAACCTGTCATTTGGATCACTCCCCCCCCCCCCCCCGGGGGCGGTGCTACTGACTGAATTGTCTTTAGGCCATTTCCAACATTAACCACGTTCTTATGCACAGTGGAGTTGTAATTGTAAAGGGCCTGATTCAGCAGTGTCATGCTCATAACTGTGCCTGAACTGCAACAAGGAACAGCTGCTTTTTCTTTCGTCATTCTTACTATCGTCATGTTTTCCTCTACTTCTTTTGTATGTTTGTCACACTTTTGTGACCCGCTATTTCTGGAGTGCCTTGATAGTCGAAATAGACTTTGTGCTGTTGAATGTAGAGAGGTGAGCAGAGTTAGTCTGATTCCCTGTAAATTGTAAGGACTTCTCTGTTGACATCTACCCCTTGGCGCTAATATGACCTTATGCAGTTTCGAGGGCTGTAAAACCTCTACTAAAACACATAAAAAGGAGCACTTCTCTATTTGTGAGGCATCCTGGTGAAAACAGGTGCTCGTTAAAATAATGAAATCAAAGAAATCAGCATTTTTTCTCTG